CAACAGAACACTGATTCCTAGTCAGACCCACGAGCGGGGCTGGCCCAGATATGTTGAGCAGCTTACTACAGATAAATGGCCTTCCAAGCCAAGCGTTGCTAAACAAGAGCGGTTCTTCCACCAGCCCACGCCTCCCAAGTCATAATTACATCATTTAAGGAGCGGAAAACATTTTTTCTGTTTAATGCTGTGTTTTGATGCCAACATTCGCCTGCCACCTAAGTGTCAGTAAGCCTTGCGAAGCAGCGCTCTGACTTGATCACAGCAGGGTTTTCTCTTCTTTTCTGTTCTTGTGGGGAGGAGTGCTTAGCAAGAACATAAAGCAGGATCAGACTTCCAGCCCCCGCCTTCCTCCCCTGCCTTTAATGTTCTCCCTGGCAGGGGAGGCCTGTCTGTGTTGCTGATGAATGAGCAGCAGCTCAGAGTAGTGCTTTCCCCACGCTCGGCTTCAATCCAGACCTCACCGTCAGAGACACCGACGTCCCATCAAGCGTGAGCTTCTCGCCCTCAGTGGGCAAGGTGAGGATTAAGACGAGGATCTTAGGTTGGTGTCAGGAGGCAGGGAGGAAGAGATGCGAGCGGTAGGGACTGAGGGAAGGATGATCAATTTAAGTAAAATTTTGAAACAGGAATGAAATGAGCTGACGAGGAAAGTGAGAACACATATAATCTAGAGCAAACAAGGGGAAGGCTGGAGGGTTGTTGTTGTTGTTTTGTTTTTTTTTTTTCTGTTATGGGCTCCACAGCCAAGCCCTTTTAAATCCATTAGAGGCAGGATATTTGTCATATTATGTTATTACATTAGCTGGGACCCCTAATGAAAGTTGTGGCAATTTGTCAGCCTTATGGATGGCTCCATCCCCCACCACTATTTATCAGCTCGCACCCCGTCTCACCCAATCTACCCCCAGCCTCAACACACGCATATATACACACACACATATACACAACCTCATCACAGCCAGCATGGAGAAACTGGAAGATATGGATCGAGCTTGTAATGGGATTCCAATGCTAAACACCCGCCTGGTGTTTTTTGTCATTTGGGGTGATCACACTCTCAGTCAGATCGCCCAGAGGGAAACAACAGTGGATTATGTCAACCTTTTTTTTTCTTCCCCTCCCCTCCCCTCCTCACACTCTCCATTACCACAGCCGTTCTTGGATGGAGGTGTCTGAAAACATTTATCTTTTAGTGTCTGATGACAAAAGAAAGAGCTGCTGCTGCTTTCTGCACACAGAGGATCTGTTCCTCAAGAAGATTTTGCCTTTGATCTCAGTCGCCTTCTTGTTAAGGTGGTGTCAGGAGCTGCTAATAGGGAGTAGTGTCTGCGCTGTGTGTTTGTGTGCAGTTTGTATAGATTTTTGTTTATTTATTTTTTTGTTTTGTTTATTAAATTCTAGTTCTGGGCATGGATTAAAATTTTTTATTTTGTGATTAGTTGCAATTAATCGCAGTATTTTTTTTATAGAAACAACTACTTTACTATGTGTGATTAATTCAGTTCATAAAGAACAAATGTTTGCATGGGAATGCAAAACAATATTGCGAGGGAATGTAAAAGAAAAAAATCCCTCCTGTTCCCTCACGGGCTTCTTAGTAAACTGAGATTAAACGGAGAAATAAAAAGCAATAAATAACTACGTTAGCCCGTGTAAATATATATATGCACGTGCGTGTAAATATATATATATATATATATATATATATATATATCGCCGTTAAGTGCCGGCTGCATCAAAGCGATAATAACACGATAATGGCCCAGCACTATTAAATTCATCACAGTTCAGTTAAAGGGGATGTGTCATGCAAAATCCAATTTTTCAGCTGTTAAATACATTTTGTTGTGTACCTGGAGTCTCTAGGAGTGCAGAAAATTTTATTTAGTTTCTCTGTTTAGATATCTTTATGTTCTGTTTAAGTCTTGTTTTTCAGCCTGTTCAGTTTTCTGTATTTTCTGAAATATTACGTCACAGAATGTGCAACAGAACTGACAAATAAGTTCTGGACTTACCAACTACAATTAGGTCTTCATTCTCCTCTGGGTCTGGGTCAGACTCCGGCTTCAACATGTCAGACTGGATGGACAAGTCTTTTGTTGTCGACATCTTTTAATTTGTAATGAAACATTTCTGTGCTACTATATAGTTGTAAGCCCCTCTATCAAACTAGACTGGACCGCTCTGGAAGCTGGAAGGGGGTGGGATGTGAAGCATCTCGTTTGGATTTAAAGAGACAGCATCAAAATGAGTTGAAAAGGGGTGAAAAGGGGGCTAGTGGAGCTACAATAAGGAGGAATTCAGACCAAAGCATTGCATTTCCATTTTTAAGGCTCTGTCACACTATAATATTTTAGACAACTTATGCCAACTTATAAAAATTTCAAAGACATCTATGTTGAAAAAGGAATTTAAAAAATCAACTGTAAGCCTCTTTTGGATGTGTACATACTGTAATGCTAACAAATTGATCATGTATATAATTTTATTAGTAATTTAGACATAAAAAAACTAAGTTGTCTAAATTTTAGGGTGACCGGGCCTTTTTAGAGCCCAACTGAAAGATTTGAATGTGAAAAAGAAGGCTATAAAATCACACGTCTCCTTTAAGTCACAGCCTCATTTTTGAAGATATTGAGATGTGTAAAATGAAAAACAAAACAACAAACCTCTATATAATTTTTACAGTGGAACATTAGCCGTGTTTCCATCAGTGTTTTTTAATGTGCATTTTGAAGCATCGCGTCAGAAAAGGTGAATGGAAACGGCTTGGTTCGAAAAWACTTCCTTTGATTTGCATAAAAGTTGATACACTCGCTTGAGGTGGTTTTTGGTTTTTTCGAAAAAGAGTTAATGCGCAAATGTACAGATGGAAACACATTTGTCGAATCACTTCTGACGTAGCGAACATTTACCTCACATGTTGATGAGCTGTTCTCGCTGTCTGTCCGAAACCGGTCCCGGTACCAGAGTGACTGCAGCTGGACCCTCCTCCCGCTGTCGGCGTATTCTCAGTTATTCCTGTAACGTGAAGAGAATTGCATTACTTCTTATACGTCTCCAGACAGCATGTAAAATGGCCGAAACTAGTTGATGACAGAATAATTACAACTTTCCCGACAGTAGCAACACGTTCCTGATCTTTTCTCCATTTTCCTAAGATGCGACTTTTACTTCCTGTTTACTACACGCATGCGTCTGACGTAACTAATTCACTTTAAGCCAATTGATGGAAACACGTCTGATTCACATTTCTTCATTTTTTCCTTTTTGCAAAATTTTTAAAATTCGCTCAAAATTCAAATTAAAATTGGATGGAAACACGGTTATATTTACCATACCTATTGTTGAACCTAAAAAGTTGTATATTCTGGAAAAAATAAACTTTGAATCATCAACACATCTCAAAAGCTTAGGAGCAACAAAAGCCTGTAAATGTGACTATACAGGTCATTTTAAAGAGGCGGTTCACCAGTCTGCAAAAACCTGTCTAATAATAGTGGAACAAATAATGTTCTGTCGTTCATAATRTCATCAAAGGRTTTTTGAGAATATACAGAAGTTTTGAATGCCTGTGATCTTTAGGCCCTCAGGGGCCACTGCATTAAAAACTGTTGTGATTCTGTTGTAGACATCAGTGCATGAGCTCAGGAAGACTTCCACAAATCCTTGTCTGTAAACACAGTTCACTGTGCCATCCACATGTACTCCCTAAAGCTTCATGATGTAAAAAAGAAGTCATATGAAAACCATCCCAAAACACAGCTGTCTGCTCTGGACCAAAGCTCGTTTAAAATGAGTCAAAGTGATCAGRCAGATCAATGTTTGAAATTCTCTGTGGAACTCCTCACACCAAACTGTCTACTAAATATGGAGGGCCCATCCAACCTGTTACCATCGCACAGTTCACAGGCCTGCCTTTCTGATGCTACTGGTGCCGGTGGCGTGTTCCATCATGACAATATGGGCTTATGAAGTTTGCAAATCATCGCACTGTTTTTATTCTCTTGTTACACATCATCCCAGTTTTTTCATCTTAAACGTCATCTTCTCGGAGCAATCTGTCCTGACTTAACTGTTTTCTTTCTTTGCTTCATTCAGCCGTGAGGAACGACCGGAACAAAAAGAAGAAGGATGAGAAGAAGCAGGAGTGCACAGAGAGCTACGTGCTGAGTCCGGACACAGAGCAGATGATTGACAGGGTTCGCAAGGCGCACCAGGAGACCTTCCCCTCCCTCTGCCAGCTGGGCAAATACACTACGGTCAGTGGCAACAAACGGGCCATCTGTTTGAAGTTCAGTAAGTCATTGTCAGGAAAAATAAATAAATAAATAAACTGACTTGCAATTGTTCTCRTCCTCGCAGTCTAACAGCTCAGAAAGGCGCGTGTCCTTGGACGTTGACCTGTGGGATAAGTTCAGCGAGCTGTCCACCAAGTGCATCATAAAGACGGTGGAGTTTGCGAAACAGCTGCCGGGCTTCACGACGCTCACCATCGCTGACCAGATCACTCTGCTCAAAGCCGCCTGTCTGGATATCCTGGTACAAATATTGATTCAGCTTTTTCTTCATAGTTAAAAACCGAAACAGAAACGTAGCTGAAATATTGATTTGTCTGTCAGGTTGTAGTTTAAAGTTGAACTCCTTTCTCAAACTCTCAGATACTGCGGATCTGTACGCGCTACACACCAGAGCAGGACACCATGACTTTCTCAGATGGACTCACGCTAAACAGAACCCAGATGCACAACGCTGGCTTCGGACCCCTCACAGACCTGGTTTTTGCCTTTGCCAACCAGCTCCTTCCTCTGGAGATGGATGACGCAGAGACGGGGCTGCTTAGYGCCATCTGTTTGCTGTGTGGAGGTAGGACTTGTCTCCTAAAAACAAACTTGTTTCCAGTGGTGTGATGTAACAAAGTATAAGTATTTTGTTGCTGTACTTAAGTACATTTTTCATGTATCTGTACTTAAGTAGATTTCATCATGGGTACTTYTGACTTTTACTCCACTACATTTTACATTAAGTATCTGTACTTTCTACTCCACTACGTTTCTGTGATGTGTTGAATTACAAATTACATTCATGTCATGTTGCTTTACTTTTTTTGCTGTTGTTTGTTTGTTTTGTTTATTTTAAAGTAATCAGTAGCAAAAGGGGAATTGCTGTAATTGGTCCATTGAACCACTGCAACGCAGAAAAGTACCATTAGAACTTCCTTTAATAAAAGCGGAGAGATTCCGCATCACCTGCTGGAGCAGCAGCAGCACGCTCAAACTGGGTTCCACCATGGAGGAAGTGCACCACTCATGGCCTTATTTAAAAGACCTATTCAAGTTAACTGGTTTAAAAAAGAATAAATGATCTGATAAAGGACGGTGTCGAGTTTATAGCTTCTGTAGCTGTTGTCACAATCTCTGATGATGCACAGAATCACAAAGTGTGAACAGTGTCACAGAAGGCAAACACAAAAACATGCATTATCTGCAGCATTGTTCACTAAAACCATTGATGTATTAAAAATATACATACAGTAGGCACACTTCATGATATTGTAGACCATTAGGGAATACATTAAGCAAGTACTTTTACTTTTAATACTTTTAARTATTTTYAAAAGCAAGTGCTTACTTTTAGTCAAGTAAAARTGTTAATGTGGTACTTTTACTTTTAATAGAGTRCATTTTTGTCTGTTTATCTGTACTTTYACTTAAGTACAGTGTTTGAGTACTTTCTCCACCACTGCTTGTTTCCTGCCAACTAATCGAGTACTGAAAACCACTTTAAAAAAAGAAAAGTTTTTTTTAACTATGCTCTGGAAACAGACACTGTAAGAATGGAGCACTGAGACRTTTCTGGGGACTTTTTCTGCAGATCGACAGGACTTGGAAGAAGCGGACAAGGTGGACGTCCTGCAGGAGCCTCTTCTGGAGGCGCTGAAGATTTACGTAAGAAGGCGGCGGCCTCACAAACCTCATATGTTTCCCAAGATGCTGATGAAGATAACGGACCTGAGGAGCATCAGTGCGAAAGGTTTGTTACGCATTTGGGTTTAAAAGGTGATTTTTCTGTGTTTTTCGACACGGTGAGGCTAAATGTGTTTTCCTCTCTCTCTGCAGGAGCTGAGCGCGTCATCACGCTGAAGATGGAGATCCCCGGCTCCATGCCACCCCTCATCCAGGAGATGCTGGAGAACTCAGAGGGTCTAGAAAGCGGGGCCGCAGGCAGCAGGCCTAGCGGCGCCCCCCCGGGGAGCTGCAGTCCCAGTCTGTCCCCCAGCTCGGCCCAAAGCAGTCCCGCCACACAATCGCCGTAGTGTCGGCTCCATCGGGGTGTTTTTTTTGCGTTTTCTCTCTTTCTCTCTCTCCGTCTCTCTGTTTCTCTCTTCGTGTTGGTCTCTGTCTCCTCCCACGTTGTTCTGAAGCGGAGGGATACAGGAGGTGGGCTTTGACCAACAGGAGACTGGCAGAGCCGACATCCTCCTCCTCCTAAACGACACAAGTCCACGTCTCCTGATCTGCTCGCCGTCACTGCAGGAACACTGTCCGGACGCGRGGTGGGGCGGCGCGGGGGAGGCGAGGCTGGAGCGGGGAGGGGAGGGGCCAGCGCGATGACTTCGCGATACCACACCGCTGGCACTGCTGATCCACCGCCCTYCACTCTCCTCTCCATCGCTTCCACTTACCTGAAAAAAAAAAAAACAGACATATGGAAGCGAGGCGGGACGCGGCGGCGACCAGTTCTGAATGAAAGCGAGTGAGAGCAGCACAATGGGACGAACACAAGGACAATAAACACAGACTGACCTAAACACCAGACACTTTGTTTTTGTTTTTTTCTGTTTTGTTGTTGTTGTTGATGATGATGATGTTTTGTTGTACTCTGAGGCAGACTGCAACATTCGAACTTCTAAAAGACCTCACTCCTCAAAGACTTTGGGTCTTTTTTTTCTGTTTTTCCATTTTCAAAAAAAAAAGGTAAGAAAAAAAGCAAGAAAAAGAACAGATTTTGTACAAAAGATGCATAAATATATATAGAAAAATTAAGGAACTATTGTGATCGGCGTGTCCAGAAGAGAGCTGCAGGTGGATATGAGGACATGTTTACTGCGCTGAGATTAGTAATTGTTGTACTCCTTCACCCTTTGAATCTTTTCACACCTATCAAGCATAACGAGACGATTCTGTTCGTTTTATTCTAATTAACAAAAAAAGTAAAGGATATTGACATTTCTTAAGTCATGCAAACAGACACACAAATGTGCACAGAAAACAACAAAAACCACCTTCTATTCCAGATTTGTTTTCCTTGTTCTTAATTTTTTGTTTTGTTTTTTCCAAGTGAATGAAAAAAAATGATTGTATGAGCTTGGTTATATGATATCGTCACAGGTCCTTTCAAGAAATCAAATTAATGAAGATTCATTATAAAAGTGTATTTTAAGTGGCTTTTGAATTTGTGTATATAAGCTGTATTCATTTCTTTAAAAACTATGAAGCGTTTTAGGCTACACATGACTTTTTTTTTWAATTCCTTTTTAATGTGTTTTGTTATAGATTTTGTGATTCAAGACAATACAGTATGAGCACATTTTACTGAAGGAAGTTCTTTCATGTTTTGTAACAGACCCTTCACCAATCACTGGCTGTTCAGAATGTGGCTTTCATAAAAGAAATTTAAACTTTTGCTCCCCCTCCTCACCCTTTTTTTATGTATTGTTTTAAAGCTGTTTTTTTATGTACTGTAGATAAAGTAGCACTCCTGTCGGGGCATAGCTTTTTATTTTGCCATGTAGCAGAAAGAGAGGATGAAAATTGTGAGTTGAGATGCCATCTGTTGCCTGGGAGTCTCAGCCGTGGATTAAACCCGTCACTCTTGGTACTCCCTGAATGAATCGATCTGCAAGTGGAACAGGTCAAGACCAGATCGTAGCGGTTCTTCTGCTCTGTAGATGTTCAGGCAAGCCAGTGAAGGGTTCCACATACGAGGCAAGTTCTTGCAACTCTCACCCACCACCCCTCCCCRTTTTCCCCCTCTTTCCGGCAACATTTAGGAACAAATAATGTGCTGGATCCGGAGCAACCTCGCGCCCTGTGACTCACTTTACACCAAAACGCCTTCATCATTAATCTGTTATTGCACCAATGTCTCAGGAAGGAATCATTTTGTGTGCTTGGCCTCTTTATGTGTTCTGTGATGCAACCCCTAAGCCTCCAATCACAAATGCACATGTGTACACACTTCTTTTTTTTTACACACTTCTGCTACTGAGCCCCCCTCCSACCCCTGAATTTTCTCTCCAAACACCCACTCTTGGCCTGGCAGACCAGGACTCATGCAGAGAGACTCGAACCCTGACCGCTCAGCGTTTGCAACATAGGATTGCCAGTGTGGAGCCTCTCTCTGATTCATGTGTACCTTTTTTTTTTTTTTTTTTTTTTGGGGAAAAAAAAAA